TAAACTCGACGGGGTAAACTGAATCTGTCGATAGGATACATAATAAATGCAATGAACCTGTCGAGAGTTTCCGTCGCGAGCGTTAGAAACATGGCTTCAATGAAAATATTGCGTCTTGTGAAATTTTTAGCGGTTATAACATTGCTGCTCGAGATGTTTGGTTAGTGGTGACGTTACGTTCATTGTTCAGTTAATGCAACGTTCATGTAGAGTATAATCAGGGACAAGATTATTCTCTGGGTTGTTACGTTCTTTTTCATCTTTGCGGAATCTATTAATTCTTTGACGGATGCCAGCCCCGATTCGAGTCGAAACGACCAGCCAAAATCATTGCCGACCGTCGATGTCGAGGAATAAATTTTGTCGACTTTTTCACCATATAACAATTAGTGACGCGTAAGTGAAAATTTATTGCGCATTCATTTCATCCTGAATTAATGTTCAGTTTTGCTATAATATTGTGGCTTGTATGATGCCTTCTAAAGGAACGAGGATGTATTCATCCGATCCAGTTCATAGTCACATTCAGAGTGTGTTTGTAATTGCAATACTAAAGTCTTGTTTTCGTGATTGTATTTCGTAACTATTCAAGATATCTAACTAAGGAGAACCTTCAAAATTGTGAACGTGGATTGTGTGCTGCTGGTGTTGACGATTGTCGTTGTAGGGCGGGTGGACTTTGAATGGAAAACTCAGAATGTGACTAACGCAGCTATTGCGAATTCAGTACGAATCGTTGCATTGACGCTGGCGGTTTGGTCGAATTCACTATATTGGTTTTTTTGTCGTCTTTCGGAGGCAATAATTTTTAAAAATTCTCTTATCAGTTGGAGGGAATCATACTTTTTGAATTCCTAACGTCTAAAAATCACTTATTCACTGAATTTATATTGTTTTAGATAGTGTTTCAGCGTAATATTTGCAATCGTAATTATTCGTTTCGTGTTCTATTAATTAACATGCTTTTAAGCACAACAATTCAAAGTTGGAGTCTGTTATTTCTGTTCTAACATCACAACTTTTCAAGTGACCTGCTGAATCACACCGCACATTTCACGTCGATGCCAACCAGTGAGTACGGCGGCTTTGCTAAGCCGTCTGAGGAGGACACGAATGCAGTGGCAGCAGCATACTCTTATGGACAAAATCTAAGAATCACTGTTTGTGCTAATCAGGTGATGCTTATAATACTGGTGGATTTAGATGAGCACTGTTCGATGTATGTGTCAATCTTGCATTCGCTTGCATGCGATTGTGAGAATATGCCAACTTCCTTGGAAGTTTGTTGAGTTGAAAGAAAGGGTTTATGAGGCGATATATGAGTGGTGTCCAGGTGATTGCCGAGCAGCATGAAAATTAAAAATTCAACGCGAACGCTGATATATAGTTGGAACTAATCAGTTTAGTTGTTTTAAGGGTGGGCGTAAATATATGGAGGATCGTGTACATATCGAGTGTGTTCGTTATGAGGATGGTTCGATTGATTTCACATATATAGCAGTGTATGATGGGCATGGTGGTGCAGAGGCGAGTGAATATGTGAGGAGGAATCTCTTGAATAATATACGATCGCAGAACGGTTTCAATGGAAACGATGAGCAGATGTTGGACGCTATTAAGAGTGGTTTCATGGAAACGCATTTAGCGATGTGGAAGGTTGTTGGTAGGTTTCGTTGATGTGCACTTGTTTGTTGTGTTGTATTTGTTGAGAATTGACTTGTTGCGATCGATGTTTTGCATTGTTGCAGATGAGTGGCCTCTGACTGCGTCTGGCTATAGGAGTACGGCCGGAACGACCGCAAGTTGCGCGTTCATAAGACGTGGTAAACTTTTTACGGCACATGTTGGTGATTCTGCCATTATTTTGGGTCGTCAACAAGGTGAATGCGTTTCGATGCTGCTCTTTTTAGTGAGAACATTTTACGGAGTATTCGAGTGCATGAGAAGACTGTGGTGTCGATTCAAATTTGTTCAGATGTTTTCGAGAGATAGTTTGAGTTTCATAATTGAATAATGACACGTGAACTAATCTCAGTAAGAATATGTTTATGAGATATTCAGGTGATTGTGTGATGGGTAGTTGTTTGACGGTCGATCACAAACCGGATAGCGCGGAAGAAGAGCAGAGAATAAATAGTGCTGGTGGTATGATCATGCGCAAGTCGGGTGTGATGCGCGTCGTGTGGACACGACCCGTCCGAGGACACATCGGTCCTGTCAGACGTTCTACACCTACCGAAAGCATCGCTTTTTTAGCCGTTGCCCGTGCACTAGGTTATTATTACTCTCGAAGAGATATTGTTGTTGTTATCATTGTCCAGTTGTTTTTCAAATCGAATTCACCCGTAACGCAGTCTTACAATTAGTGTGCGATGAGTGATGGTTATATTTACTCAAAAAGGCCCATTTGCAGGTGATTTGTGGTCTTATAATCAAGACACGAAGCAGTTCATCGTAAGTCCTGAACCAGATGTGAGTGTACTGGAACTGGACAGTGACGATAAATTCATTGTATTGGCATCTGACGGACTGACGAACGTGTTGAGAGCTAAGGAAGTGGCAGATATTGTGTGCAATTGTGAGAATGACGGGTGCTTGGAGGTATTTATTCGGCAGTATTATTATTATTATTCGTATCAGTTGTTTCTTCATTTCTTTATGCTGCTTTCACATTCGCGTTTTCAAAAGTTGTTTTTTCTTTCCGTCAGGATGGTGACGTGCCGAATCATTCACGTGTTCTAATTCGTCACGCACTCCGTGGTTGGGGCGTTCTACGTGCCGATAATATTTCCGTTGTTACCGTAAGTATTTTATCGTTCACTAACCTGCAGATGAAAACGTTTTGCTGATAAGCTAAATGCGTCGATATTCTTTTCGATGCATGACTAACGCTCACAACAACAAATTGTGCGTTTGCATTCATTCGTGTTAAGAGAATGGATTTCATCTGCCTTGATTTTATGAAGTATTAAGCGTTTGGGGGTTAATTGTAGGTTATGCTTGACGATGAGGTGAGGAGTGCTTCTCTACAAAATAGTCTGTCGAGCAAGAATGTGATCGTTTCGTGTGAAGGTGATATGGATTTGGAAGAGAGTCTTACCAAACAACCTGCCTCTATGATACGTATCACACCGTTCGGTTATCAGCAGTTGCTCACAGTTCCTGTTGAGTTGGTCTATGCAGGTGCTATGGATGCCAATTTTGGCACAGGTATCATTCTTGTTTCCGATTAACTGCTCATTTCTAACATTACTCTCTTGATATGTCATATCTGTTCCTACCGTTCTGATGTTTATTCGTTCAGGACTTGAGTATAAAGGCCCAGGATTCAGTTGTCATACGCGCATCTTGCAAAATCATCTAATCACCAGCTGCGATTCGTCATCGTTAGCACTGAGCATGTCCCCTCCAGCTCGTCGCACTCGACCGCGTCCATCACCATATTTCTTACCACGTATCAACTTATCTGAAGTCAGCGGTAATACTAACACAACAACAGCAACATTAGTAACGAGTACTAACGATAGCACTCATAGCAGGTAGGCTGTTCGTTTCATCATTCATCATTCTGTTGCATGCATTCTCTTTTGTAATCTTATCTTCACGGGTATTTGTTCCTTTTGGGGAAAAATAGAATAATTTCATATTTGTTACACACCTCTTGAAAAGTGTTTCATTAGTTGCTAATGATCTTTTTCACGGCAGAAAGAATTGTTTTTGGTTTTAGTCTACAACCAACGAGGAACATTGAAGAAGGGGATACAATCGCGATGAAGACGACGACGACCCCAGATGATGTGGTGGCTGAGAGCAGCAGTGCTTACGAGCACTCAGCTGAAACGTCCTCCTCGGCGCGAGTGGTGGTTGTGTCACGATTGCAGCGGTGCAGTGCTGATGCCGAATTCATCAACGAACAAATCANTCAAGTAAATTCGTCGTTTTTGTTGATTCACCACCCTCTTTCTCTCATTCATCTATGATTTTTGGATGGCTTTCGATCCATTTGAAATTAATCTTATCTTATTAATCCAACTGTCAATTTAGTCTCTAACTGTCAAAAGTATGATTTGATAATTTAATTCTAGCAACAGACTACAAGTCCACTGACACCACTAGCTCGTAAGAGACATTCATCTGCGAAGTCTACAATGACATATGGTAGCAGTTTGGTGGCACAGTCGACGTCGTCCTCTGTGAACAGCTCATCTTATTTGGATCTAAGCACTGGGAAACCAGTGAAATATTATTGCACGAAACATGGACTATCATGTAATAACGTTCGCAGACGTAACGAAGAGGTTCGTTCGGAAATGTCAATTTTTTTTCGATCAGATAACCCCACAATTGTATTTTTTGAATGCTCTCTAAAAGCATTTCATATTCAGTAGTGAAGAAAATAAGGAAATGAAAAGAGGGAATAAGTGAAGGATCAAATCATCAGATGGTATGTGAATGAATTGTTATTTTAGTATGCAGCATCGAAAATGCCAAAAAGGGAGAGTGTCAAAACGGACGGGGTGGATGTATGCGAGAATTGTGAATATGACAGTACTGATGATGAACGCAATGTGAATGCAGTGGTGACATCAACAAACGAACATTCAACAAATATTAATGTGGTCGATTATTTATTTTTATCATCATCTCTTTTTGATTATGCATTCGAAGTATTTTTAGGTTAAGATTCAAGCCGATCAAACTTAGAATCATGTCAACAATTTTTTCGCTCTATCAGACACTTTCACGATGGTTTATTTGTTTTTCAGCTTGGTGAAGGAGGGCATACGTATGCGTCGTCGAGTGTGAAGACTGTAACGATTGTCTCACCAATCACAACCACTCCTCTCTCAGGTATTTACATTCGGTTCTTCTCCCTGGAGTAATGATCTTCTCATTTGATTTGATTTATTGTTCATTTTGGGTGTTGATTTTGTGGCAGCATTAATTGTAATAGCACTTGGTTAAGGTCGAAAGCGTTTGGTAGCAATAAGACGAACCCCGATGAGCATACATCGACGTGGTCAAGCACGTCGTAACCTGATGGATAGTGGTGGTGGCCAGATGGATCAGCGAATGTCGTCACCAGAACAACATCTAGACGAAGGCAGTAGTGCCGAAGAAGAGCCGAAGTCGAGAAGTGTAGAAGATGCTCGTCAAGCGGAAGGAGATGAAGAAGTGCACGTTCCAGTGCTTCAGCAGTGCTCTCATCCAACTTCTGCAAAATCGATCACACCTCCTCTCAATGAAGGGACATCGAGACGAACTGCCGGTAAACATTTCACCTCATTTGCAACAGATTTATTGAAGTTCATGGTCTGTTTTTTGCGTTCGGTTCGGATCGCTCGCCAAAAGCTTGTCAAAGCAACATGGTGGCGTCAGACGATGCAAGTTGTTGTTTTCTCAACTTTGCGAAGTTTGAACGTTTGATGTAGAAATGAAAGTGAATCTGAGATAGAACTGTTGTGTAAATATTTTCTTCTAGGTTGCGCGTCAGCCCTTTCACCAGCTCTAATGTTGGCTGCTTTTCGAGCGCCAGATCGCATTTTACAAGCGACGATGAAGGATCCTCTGGCTCGTGATATCTCTCTTTCTGGTTTGCGGTCACCATCGATCAGATCGCGGTCGTTATCTGTCGGGCATACTCCAATGCTTTCTCCGCTGAAACGATTGAATGCTGCCGATGAATATAATGAGCATCACGGTTCGTTACTGTTACTATTGGAATGTCTTTAGTTAAACTTCGCTCAATGTAAGTTGTTAAATGAAGCAATCGCGATTGTGAGTATTACGACGATTTAATGAAAGTTCAGTAAATGTTTTCATTGGAACTGATCTGTAATTGCTCTGAACAACGTATCGCTTATTTTATTTTTGAACACATCGTCCCTTTATGGGCATTTTCAATTTGTTTGATTGATGCTCTAAAGTGCTTCGTTCATAATTGCGATTAATAACCTGTGGATTCGAGTTGGTCTTCGAATTTTTCGAATCATCCAGTTATTATTATTTACTGATGTGATGACGAATGTGCTCTATTGCAGCAGCTGCTGTGAATGGTGTCTCAGCAGATGTACATTTATTGTCCAAACGTGAACTGTTGGTCGGTGCTGAAGAAGAAGAAGAAGAGGCGAGCCCACAGTGTGAACCACCGACGAAACGATCGCGTTTCTGGGGATTCTTCAGCAACATGCTCGGAGGTGCTAAAAGCTCATCCAAATAACTCGTGTGTTCACCTATATTACAACATGTTCGTTTCTTTGTATACACACATCACAGATTATTTATCAAGAACAACGAAGCAGCAACAGCAGCTTTGCGATCATCACATCAATGCTCGTCATTGTTCGATTGTTTCATTTTCAAACATATGAGATGAGTTTGTATGTTGTGGGTTAATTTATTAGCTGTATCAATCAGTCAGTCATTTCGTATCTGAATATAAATGGGCTTCTTTATTGTGCTTTTAGAGTTCAATCTGAATCTTTCAACGCGGAATTTTTTCAGCGACAAATCAGAATTGACTTGTTTGATATTGGATGAATATGTGTGCAAATGAAACTGAATCAACTAGGTTTTAGTACACAGCTTCATGAAGTGAACTGTTATGTTGTCAGTGTGGTTGTTGTTTATGCTGCTCTCATGCTGTGTGTTTGTGTGTTAATTGCTCATTTTAGAGTCATTGCCATTTTGAGATGTTAAATGCTCATTTGAAACGTTCAGGTCGTGATCCTTATCCCGCTCTAGCCAATGATGCTGTTTCCAGTTTGCAAAAATTCTTTCTATACTGCGACACTGAATTTTTAATCGATTTTGTTCTGTTCTGAAAATGTTCATAATGAATATTGCGACTGAAATGAAAAGGGAAAAAAACTTTTTTTATTCCGTTCACTTTCTCGACCCATTTCAGCTGTTTTCTTTTTTTTTTGGAATCACATCTTTATTCAAGATTCATTTTCGTCGCATTTTCAGTGGTTTAACTAGTGAAGTTTTCCAGGCAGGCTCTCCGTAGCTTTTGATTGTTAAAATTAGTTTTTTTTGAATGGGGTATTGAATGATATTATATCCGAGCGTAGTCTGAAAATGAGTATTGCAATGAAACTCTCGCATCTTTTTCGTTTAGTGCAATATTTCGGTCGGAGAAAGGATTCTTTTTCAGCATGTTGTCTTTTGCCTGCTCAGAAGAATCTTCACTAATCTTAAGTCGTTTTCTTTAATAATATCAGTTCCACATGGAATATGGTATGGAACAAACCCGCGTATTTGGTTTATTGAAGGATTTTCAAGTGATTGCAGTGTTTTTGAAATGATACATCAAGCACCGTAACGACGTTTGATCTATGCAAATATGTAAAGAATTACTGTTTTTTTTNTTTTTTTTAAATGTTACTCAGCAATGTCCTTGGAAACCAGCACAAAAGGATGCAATCTCGATGCAACAGATCATGTTCCGTTCGTTAGAGATCTCTCCATTCACTGAGCTCTATTCACTTGTTATTTCTTATCAAGACTTACTTTAATGTCTCATTATTGCTCCATCCGTAATCGAATGCTTCATTCTGTTGTAGTCGTTTTTAATATTGTCTTCATTATCATTGGTATTTTCATAATGACTCTAATGTTCTCATTACTGTTATTGCTGTTACTAACATTGATATTGTCATCGATAAGTTACTCGTATTATTATGTTGGGTTATCAGCGCCATCGCAGTTGCTGTTGTATGTTTATTATTGTTATAAGGTTCGATTATTTTCGGTTGTCGTTATTATAATTGTAATATATTGTTGGTGTGTTTTCGAATGCGATTGTTCATGTTAAGGGCTGTTAATGATGATGGAGTGATAACAGTTAAACGTTATGAAATTCTCGTCGCTAGAAAATAAAATGCGTAAACCTATGTTGTGCACAACTGGAAATTTCAATGTGTTGCAAAAAAATTTGCTTCAGTATGAGAATGTCAGTTTTATTGAGCACTTCACACATAGAATATGGGATAGAAATGTTTTGGTTTTGTATGCAAACCGTTTTGTGAGAGTAGACGTCGAAGTTCGGTAAATGATCAAAAGGTGTCCGAAAGACTTCATTGTCGGAAAAAGAAAAAATTTCCGTACTTACACAAAGTGAAAAACACATCAGATTCGTTCCCCATTCTAGAAAGCGGGCGATTTCATTTCATCAAAGTTTTCTGCGGGAGAAGTGCACAAAAGGACAGTATTCACGAAATATTTATTCAACACCTGCAATATATAATATATGCATCAAAGCAACATTTTCACGGTGCCACAGTCTCAATCAGAATAAAATTTCAAGGAATCAGATAAATCACGTCGGATTCATCGTAACAAGGAGTAAGCATGCAAAGGTTCAGCAGAGTTCCGATAACAAAAGAAACAGTTTCAGAAACACTGATAAGTATCCGTATCAAATGAAAGAAAGCAATCGTCAAATGGTTATGAGAGAACATTTTGAAACACAAAGCTGTGGAAAGATTACTAACAGTAAAATTTTTTGGCATTTCTAAAACTGAAGAATCTGAAACTGAACCAAGACCATATAATTTAGCATCACTATTTTCAAACTGACATTACTCTGACAATCAGGAAGAGAGAAACAGTCAAACGTACTATCTCAGCACAAACAGGGAAAAGATTCGAGCATAGAACGGTTATAACTTGTCACGGCGGATCATCTCCAAGATATAAATGAAGGCTCTTGAACTGGATAATTTTCATAAGTTAACCGCTGAATAATCCTAACGAATGTTTTCGAAACTGGGCATCTGCAAAATCAGGTGCACCATATAATTCAGCATCACCATTTTCAAACTAACGTTACTCTCAGGTTCGATCAGTAACATGGTCATTTCTTTATACTGTCGCATTTCCCAGACTCACCAATTTCAGAAATGTATGAATGTTGTCGGGCGATTTCGTTTTCCGCAAGAAACATTCAGAATCTTTTGGAATAATATCACGCAGATGGGCCTCCCATTCCCATAGGTTGTACCTGCATTGATCAATACATACAAAAGGTCTGGAATACCAAAATCACCATTTTAAAAATAACGTTACTCTCTGGTTCGACTAGAAACAGGAACATTTTTTCATACCGTCGGAATTTCCAGATTCTCTATTTTCACACAAGTATATATGTTGTTGGGCAATTTTGTTTTCTCGAAGTAGCATTGAGGATTTTTTGAAAACATCTCACGTATATGGACGTCTCATTACAATAACATAGGAATTTCTGTACACCGTTCGATGCAGCTGAATCTCAAGATTTTGCTGAGCAATTCTGCTTTCTTGAGCAGATATGGCTATTTTCACAAAGCTATCTCAGCAACAAGCGCATAGGTGATTATTCCCACGTATTCTGTTACCACAGATCAATATCAATACGTTACCATGGCTCTATAATTGTCACCATTTTCAAGGCAACCATTCTCTCATGTTTTCCCGGAAACACGTGAATTTCTTTTTACCGTTCGATCCAGCAGAACCTCTAGATTCACAATATTGAAATTTTACTGAGCAATTTGGCGTAGTTGAGGAGATATAGGTATTTTATTAATACAATCTCGGGTTCCACTTTCAAGGCTACCGTATGCTCAAGTTTACCCAGTAACAAATGAATTTTTTTGCATCACTTAATCCAGTCGGATCTCCACATCCAGAAAAAACATATATCTTCCCGAGCAGTTTTGCTTAATTGGGAGGATTTAGCCATTTATTTAGATTTATCTCAAATAAATAGAGCAGTCGCGCTCATTCATACAAAATGATCACTATAGATCAATCAATACATTCATACAGCAATAGGTGGATTGCGATATTCGAGCTAACCGTCTTCTCAGGTTTGCCAGTAAACATGTGAATTTCTGCTCACTGTTCGATCCAGCAAAACCTCTAGATTCAGAATACTATAAATTTTACTGAGCAATTTGGCATAGTTGAGAAGATATACGTATTTTATTAACAATATCTCGGGTGTCACTTTCAATTCTAGCTTATGCTCAAGTTTACCCAGTAACACATGAATTTTTTTGCACCAATCGATCCATCTGGATCTCAACGTCCAGAAAAACATGTATCTTACCGAGCAGTTTTGCTTAATTGAGGAGATTTAGCCATTTATTTAGATTTATTTCAAATAGATAGCGCAGTCGCACTCATTCATACAAATTGATCAATATAGATCAATCAATACGTTCATAATGCAATAAGTGGATTGCGATCTTCGAGTTAACCGTCTTCTCAGGTTTGCACGGAAACGTGTGAATTTCTTTTCAGCTTTCGATACAGCAGAACCTCAAGGTTCAGAATATCATAAATTTGACTGAGGATTGTGGCTTAGTTGAGGGGATATAGGCATTTTATTATCAATATCTCGAGTGCCACCTTCAAGGCTACCTTATGCTCAAGTTTGCCCAGTAACATGTAAATTTCTTTGCATCACTTAATCTAGCTGGATCTCTATGTTCAGAAAAATATATATTTAGCTGAGCGATTTTGCTTGCTTGAGCAGTTGTAGCTATTTTTAGACTTAACTCAAGCAGTGCAGGTGAGTAGTACCTCAGAAGGCTAGTGACTACGGTAACTAAGCCACACCCACAGACTACGGTAGAACGCCCGCATTTAACGAAAGCGTTACGAATCGAGTAAAGACACGAACAGTTGAAAAATCACAAACGGTCGCACGCATTCATCTGTTTCAGTGACGATGAATGACCAACGCTAATTTATCATTTAATTTAATCTTATGTTGTAAGTGTTATATCACAACTTGTAAGCTTTGTCGTGCTTACAGACTAATGAAAGACCATCTGGACTACGCCCATGCATTCATGTATTTCTCGTCATTCTGGCCCCATCCATTTTCAGTAGCTAGCACTACTGATAATACCAATGGTGAGGATTTCTATGAGACGCCGAATATCAATCAGCGAATGAAATTATTACGTCAAACTGTTCACTGCTAGTACCACCTTGTAATAATAATTAATCAATGTAATCTCAAACCTAATCAATTTATATCTATGAAAACAACCTCCTTCTAAGCACCACTGAAACCAACCGATTTATTATAGTATTTACAAGAGTAATCGTTCATCTCCTTGCAATTTTCAAATCAGCAAACCAGATACTGTGCAAGATTTTGATGCGAAACCTCTCCCACGGCGTCCGAAGAGAAACCGAGGTTTTTTAGACGACACACTCTACGAA